AAAACAACAGCAAAAAATAAACATCTTAAGTGCACGTAACAAATTGATACTTGTTCGGCCTTCGCGCCAGTACGCAGCCGCCGTACATACTAATCTGTATTGATAGATTCTTGACTCTTCTATTTTTCTGTGAGTGTTCTATATGCAGCATGTAACTCGATATGCCGGTTGATGTATGATTCATCTAGGTGCACGGCTTCGAGGAACTCTCGACCTTTTTCGAAAGGACAGGTAAAGATAGTGGGTTTTATCGCAAAAGAAAATTTGCTAGGTGTCCAGGGTAGGCATGGTTACTTGAGACCGTTGGTCTCGCCTATTTATTGTCAGCCGATGTTCGTGAATGCGTGTAAATGCGGACTTACTAGTTTGACTACAATAAACGGCATTACATAGGATTTTGTAGCCGACTTTCTTCTTGTCCAAATAGCCAATACTCTCTTAAGTTTTAAATTGGCGTAAATTAGTCATCGTTTTGTACTCCACATGAATTTGGGATTCCTTGAGCATATCAACTTATAAGCAGAGTACATAAACCTCGGAGAGAAACGGAAGAGAGTCGATCAAAACAGACAAACAAACTCGGTAGCCGCTCACTGGCGCAAACGCCAAGCAAGTATCGACTTTTAAGTGCACTTAAGATGACAATTATTTCTTGACACATTTGCCATTCATCTGCGTCTGACAACGGTCTGGCGAAACGACGTAGAAAATGTATACAGTAAGGTCAATTTTAAAAATTAACATATTTGGCGTCAACTTATATTTTCTGGGATGACGGTACTTATATGGATTCATCTTAACAATGTGTAAGTATGCGCCTGTTTGCGGCGAACATACGTTTTCCACTACTTGTTGACAGACCTATATCACAAGAAGAGGGTTTTAAATTGGTAGGTGAAAAAGACAAGGGTAACAGTAAATGGCGCACCGAGGACTCAACCGAGTTGTGAAGTCGTTCACTCAGGTGAGAGCCTCCGTTACTGCACGGGGTTGAGGACTTGAGATGAGACTCCTCGTGGTTGAAGTGGTGCTGTTGCTGCTGCTGCTGCTGCTGCTGTTGTTGTTGTTGTTGGATACTGTGCAGAAGGAGACGATTGGCGGCCACGAGGTTGGCCGCAGAGGCTCCACTTGAGAGCATGATTTGGTGCAAAGCAGCAAGGGACGAAGATGCGGCTGCCACGGCTGCCGCCGTCGACTGGGTGGTAGTCACCACGGGCCGACTTTCAAGTCCTACTGGCCCTGCGACGTGACTTTTGGAGTTGTCGTTCACAGCCACACCCGGAGTTCTATTTGTCGCAAGACTTGAATGATTGGCCTGTGAGCGCGCGCAGTAATGGGGGGGCAGTGATGGTACAGAGAGGGAGAAAAAGTGGACTGTTAGCCATGCATCCCGCCAATGCACACATACATTCAGAAATTTGTTCTAAAGTGACTAATTGACTGTCACTTCAAGGTGTACCAGGGTGTGAACCGGTAAACAGATGAGTATTTTACTGGCCCCG